AGAAGAACATCACACCATGCTCCATATTTACCACGCGAGCAATAAATCGAAATGTCTGCGACGACCGACGAGGCCAACAAATAACCACGATGACGACAGTGATGATGCGATTTCACTAAATGCGTCTGAGGTCGGAGCGGAATCAAATGCTTTCCGCCCTGATCTAGAGGAGGGGGACATGCCAGAAACTGGAGCGAAAAACTAGCGTTTTCCGCCCAGAAGAATCAACTGGAATGGAGTCAAACGCACTCTATCTGGACTCGGCTAGTGGAGTGGAGCTGGAACCCCAGCGCTACGGGCAGCTCTTGAGATATGAGCAAAGAGAGCTAAGCGGAATTGAAATGAAAACTTTCCAACCGCGAAACAAATGGCATCGTCTTCAAACTCGACGACTGAACAAACGACCGCGCCATCGGCGACAGCATGGGAGAGTGGAATCACAAGCGTTCCACCTTCCGCCCAGAACCACTTTCCGGTCAGGTATGGTCCAGGACCTCCGAGCCCCAGTACATCCAATTCAAGCCCTCACATCGATCGCGCCGACAGCTGTGGTCAAGATAGAAGCCGGGGGCCGCCTACATATGGTTCGAGCCGTAATTGATGCGTGCGCTTCAACGTCCATAATCGCCGAAGATTTGGCAAGAGAATTAAAACTTGGGCTAAATGCAATAAATTCCCAGAGGGGCTACTTCATTAAGTTGAGAGGGAAGCAAGGACAGTCAGCCACCGTTACGACGGACGCAATTTCCATCAAAAATTATCGGAAGTGGACACCAATTACTAGTTTAGACGCTATCGTAGTCGCAGCTTCCACATCACAGCGCCAGTCCGCTTAGTATTAGGCGCCGAAGTCTTCCCCAAAATTCTACTCGGCGCAATTCCAGCGGATACTCTCGGCCCGCTACTAGCACAGAATACCATTTTTGGATGGGTCCTGTCGGGCGCTTGTTGAACTTTTTTTTCCTTATCATACCACAATGAATTAAATACACAGTGAATTGTTTTTCTTATTTTATTGAATAAATGTGCAGTTGAATTTGAAGCCCACGTCCTTTATTTTTAAACCTTCTTTCCTTATAGAATTTAGGTCCATAGATGAAGAACTGAATTGGAGAATCTAGATTTAACGTATTTCTATCGTGTAACGTGGTATAGAGGTTGGATCACATGGTTCTTTGGATGTTGCTTATAGCAAGGGGCCGGAATGTTTATGCCTCCGCCTAAATAGATTAGAAAAAGGACATCCCTAATGGTTAACATTGCGTTAACATTGCCGCTGTTAGCTTTCCCCTCGCTTTCTATTGGTTTCCGTTAATGGAATAGTACTACTTGAAAACATCTTGGCAGGCTACCGCCATCATAATAAAAAACTGTTCATTTACTTCCTTCCAAGAGAGAAGACGTGATCCAGCCACCATCCAGCGTATTCAAAGGTAATCTACAAAAGCAATTTGTATATATATATATATATATATATATCCATAGCCCATTTTCATATGAATAAATCTACATATTTAAATTAATCAAATACTAATACCACTTTGTGTTCTTTCATTGTGGAAAAAAAATCGGCACAACTGGTTAATCGTTGTGGCGATTAACAAGAAGTGTTTCCATCTGGTAACAATGTCGCAGATGTTCCAGAGCTACGGCTATGCAATTTTTTCATCGAACCGTTGCCACAATCTTATAAGGAATGTTCACTTAGTTCCTCCTGATGCATCCAAGAAGAAGGTCATTAATGATTTGCATCTTCTTATTTTCGAATTCGACAAAGCACGCCAGTCGCTTCTCTCTGTGCCAACTTACGCCAATTGGAAATGCCACGTGAAGCCAAGTCCTTCTCTACTTGGCCTTTCCATTGCAGTGGACACCTCCCTCTTCCTCTGGTCCCACCAGCGGATTACAAGTCGAATACTTTTAGACCTGGAACGTGGTTCCTATTCGAACGACATGGCGGAGCCAGCGTTCTATCGTCTGCGGTACTCATCGTCGCCAACGGGTTAGAGCCTGTAAATATTCCGAAAGATCTTTCTCTCGAATGCTCCAAGAGGCGTCTCATCGAATGTTGTCATTGTCTATTCTTCTGCGCCATATACCAGCATAGGCAGTGTGGTTTTTGTACCTCGAGAGAGAACTTTACTCCAGAATGGCCTACTCAGTCCAAAGGAGTACTTGTGCGCTACATTAATTCGGCATTGAATTTCGATGCCGACATTATTATCGGTGTTATGATGGTTCCTAACAAAAAGGAATTGTCTACTTTCTCGAAATAGCAACTGGCAACCGTGGCATGGGTGCCAAGGCGCGAATGCTCTGACTCTTTGTTTGATGACAGGAAATACTTCGTCTTGTCCTCGTTGATAACCAAACCCTATCGCTTGCCTTCGTTATCCAACTTGGAAAAGGCAGGACAGACTTCGAGGTTTTTGTTACCGATGATATAGATGTCATTGGCATACGCCAGAAATTACACGCCCTTGTAAAATTTGTTCGTGAGTGGGTCAGTTCTGCAGCTCTTATTATCTCAACATTTGCAATGTGCGATCATAAATTCCCTTCTTCTCACGCCTTAATTTATGAATGTTTAATTGGGCATATAATAGGAGATCAGAATAATAATAATAATCATAATCTTCATAATATTATCCAACGTTTTTCAAATTGCTCTCGCTGATTTTTGGCAAAATTTTGCTAAAAATACGAAGCAGCTAATCTAATTTAGCAAAAACATGTCTGGAAAATGTGGGTATTGTTAGGTAGATGTGTATTTTACTAAGGTACATTCTCAGATATTTGAAAGTCGGTAAAACTCAACGCTAAAGGAGGCAAATTCTCTTTACTCGCAGTATATGTAGTACGTAGTAGGCTATGGCGACCCCAAGTGAAATTCTTTATGATTAAAAGTTAACTATTTTATAATGGGAATAGTGGCAACAATTTTAAGTTTTCATTAAGGATTTTTTAAACAGCTTCCATGGGATATATTTATGTTTTCGTTAGGTATGGTTTTTATTATTTTTTCATTTGTATCAGTAGTTTATTATTATTATTTTTTTTTCATTGCGAAATTTGTATACTAACCCTTCGTTGGTAATATAATCAATTCGTTTGATAGGATTTTGTAAATTCTTTCTTCATTTAAAATGTCCGGCTTTTGGATAAGTGGAAACATAACAAAAAATCTAGTAAAGCTTTCCCTAACAGTTTTCTTTTGGAACCAATTATGTAATATTTTAATTAGTTCCAATATTTGCAGTCTTTTCATTTAGGGCATAATCCTATTGAAAATATTTCTTAATCAAGATTTTTTTCAAATGCCTTTAGTTTGGTACCGATATTGTAACATCTCATTTATTTTACCAGTTTATTTGAGTTAAATTTTCAAACAGGTGGCAACCCTCCTGAAAACATTTTTTCGAGTGTAGGTCTTTAAAAAACTCTTTAGTTTGATACCCATATTGCAATATTTCATTTGTTTAATCAATTTAACTGTGGCAACCCTCCTCAAACATATCGAGCCCTAACCGCCAAAATAACGTAAGCGACATTTTTTCAAAATTTTCTTTTTGATGCAGAAATGCATCTAGATGCTCTAGGGATATTTCTATATCAAAAAGAAAATTTTGAAAAAAATTTCGCTTACGTTATTTTGGCGGTTAGGGCTGGATATGTATGCTGTAAGCTTTCTTAAAACTCTTTAGTTCGACAACCACATAGCAATATTTCATTTACTTTATCAATTTAACTGAGTTAAAATTTTAAAATTGGTCGCAACCCTCCTAGAAAATTTTTCCAACAGTTATATTTCTTAAAACTCTTTAATTTGATACCCATATTGTAATATTTCAAATATTTTATTAATGTAATTTAGTTCAATTTTCAAAGAGGTGGCACCCCCTCCTCAAAGACATTTTCGGCTGTAAGCCTTCGTAAAACTCTTTGGTTTGACACCTACATTGCAATACATATTTTATTTTATCAATTTGGCTGAATTAAAATTTTCAAATAGGTGGCAACCCTCCTCAAAAATATCTCCAACAAATTATCTTTCTTAAACCTCTTTAATATGAGTATCAAATTAAATAATAATTCATAATAATTCATTTATTTTTTCAGTATAACTGGGTGTAAACATTTTCAAATAGGAGGCAACCCTCAAAACTTTTTGTGACATCATTAATCCTAGTATTATACCGAACAATAAAAAACCAAAATAATTCAAATCGGTTCAGCCATTCTTGAGTTTTGTCGACCGTGACATACGACCGGGGCGTACTCCGATCCCGCAGTCGATGTTGACGGAGTCGACGTTCCACCGCCTGACTATGACGAGGTACGTATAGCAATAACGCGGGTGAAAAACAACAAAGCTGCTGTAGCTGACAGCCTGCCAGCTGAGCTATTATAGCACGGCGGCGAGGAGTTGATAAGGTGCATGCATCAACTCTTATGCAGAATATGATCAGATGAACGCATGCCCGACGACTGGAATTTAAGTGTGCTCTGCACAATCCACAAGAAAGGTGACCCCGCCATTCGCGCCAACTACCGCGGTACCAGCATTCTAAGCATAGGTTACAAGGTCTTATCGAGCGTATTGTGTGAAAGACTGAAGCCCACCGTCAATGAACTGATTGGGCCTTATCAGTATGGCTTTATACTTGGCAAATCCACCATAGACCAGGTATTCACAATACGCCAAATCTTGGAAAAGACCCGCGAGAAAAGGATCGACACTCACCACCTATTTGTCGACTTTAAAGCCGCTTCTGACAGCACTAAAAGGAGTTGCCTATACGCCACTATGTCTGAGGTTGGCATCCCCTCAAAACTTATACGGTTGTGTAAAATGACGTTGAGCAATACCACCAGCTCCGTCAGAATTGGAAAAGACCTCTCCGAGCCGTTCGCCACAAAACGGGGTTTCAGACAGGGCGACTCCCTTTCATGTGACTTCTTTAATCTGATGTTGGAGAAGATAATAAGAGCTGCAGAACTGAACCGCTCAGGAACAATTTACTACAAGAGCGTGCAATTGATGGCTTATGCCGCTGACATCGTCATCGTGCGAATGGGTCTGGTGGTAGACGAGGACAAGACGAAGTATCTNATTCGCGCCTTGGCACCCACGTCACTGTTGACAGTTACAATTTCGAGAAAGTAGAGAATTTCGTTTACTTGGGAACCAGCATTAACACCGATAATAATGTCAGCATTGAAATCCAACGTAGAATCACTCTTGCCAACAAGTGCTACTTTGGACTGAGTAGGCAATTCAGGAGTAAAGTCCTCTCTCGACGTACGAAAACCACGCTCTATAAGTCACTCATCATGCCCGCGCTGGTATATGGCGCAGAAGCATGGACAATGACAACATCCGATGAGGCGGCTCTTGGGGTGTTTTAGAGAAAGATTTTGCGGAAGATTTCGGGCCTTTAGGCGTTGGTGACGGCGAGTACCGCAGACGATGGAACGATGAGCTGTATGAGCTTTACAACGACATGGACATAGTGCAGCGAATTAAAATACAGCGGCTCCGCTGGCTTGGCCATGTCGTTCGAATGGACACCGACGCTCCAGCTCTGAAAGTATTCAACCCGGAATCCGCTGGTGGTAGCAGAGGAAGAGGGAGGCCCGCACTGCGATGGAAAGATCAGGTGGAGAAGGACTTGGCTTCACTTGGCGTTTCCAATTGGCGTCAGTTGGCACAGAGAAGACACGACTGGCGTGCTTTGCTGAACTTGGCCAAAATCGCTTAGGCGGTTACAGCGCCATAAAAGAAGAAGAAGATGACTTACGAACATAACATTTTTATATGGACTTCTAAATCAAGATTTCTCAAATGCCTTTAGTTTGGTACCGATATTGTAACATTTCATTTATTTTACCAACTTATTTGAGTGAAATTTAAAAAAACTGGTGGCAACCCAAACATATTTTCGTCGTAGGCCTTTTAAAAACTCTTTAGTTTGATACCCACAATGCAATATTTCATTTGTTTAATCAATATATGTAATTGAGTTAAAGCTTTCAAAAAGTTGATCAACCCTGCACAAAAGTATTTTCTAAAGTTTTATTTCTTCAACCTCTTTAATTTGATGCCTATGTCAATTAAATTTAGTTAAATTTTCAAACAGGTGGCAGCCCTCCTCAAACATATTTTCGGCTGTGAGCCTTCTTAAGAATTTAAAGTTTGATACCGAAATTGCAGTTTTTCATTTATTTTATCAATCTAACTGAGTTTAAATTTTCAAAAAGGTGGCAATCCTACTCAAAAATGTTTTCCGCAGCTATCTTTCTTAAACCTCTTTAATTTAATATCTATATTGTAACATATCATTTAATTAATTAATTAAATTGCGCTAAATCTTTTAACAGGTGGCAACCTTCCTTTAAAATAGTTTCGACTGTAAGCCTTCTTAAAACTCTTTGGTTTGATACCCATATAGCAATATTTCATTTACTTTATTAATTTAATTGAGTTAAAATTTAAAAATTGGTGGCAACCCTCCTCAAAGATATTTCCAACAGTAATCTTTCTTAAACTTTTTTAATTTAATACCAGCATTGTAATTTTTCATTTATTTTATCAATGTAATTTAGTTAAATTTTCAAACAGGTGGAAACCCTCCTCAAACATATTTTCGGCTGCAGGCCTTCTAAAAACTCTTCAGTTTGACGCCACTTGGCAACATTTTATTTATTTTATCAATTTTATTGAGTTAAAATTTTCAAATAGGTGGCAACCCCCCACAAAAATATTTCCATCAGTTGTATTTCTTAAACCTCTTTATTTTGATACCCATATTGTAATACCTCTTTTTTTAATCATATATAAATGGGTTTAAAAATTTTCAAATAGGTGGCAACCCTCCACAAAAATATTTCCATCAGTTGTATTTCTTAAACCTCTTTATTTTGATACCCATATTGTAATACCTATTTTTTTAATCATATATAAATGGGTTTAAAAATTTTCAAATAGGTGGCAACCCTCCACAAAAATATTTCCATCAGTTGTATTTCTTAAACCTCTTTATTTTGATACCCATATTGTAATACCTATTTTTTTAATCATATATAAATGGGTTTAAAAATTTTCAAATAGGTGGCAACCGTCAAAATTTTGCTATATCATTGGTTCTGGTATTATACCGAAAAATATAAAAAAAAAGTTATTCAAATCGGTTCAGCCATTCTCGAGTTTTGATGACCGTGACATACGAGCACAACATTTTTATATATAGATCATATAGAGTCACAGAGACTCAACCTGGCATTTATTTCGGAATTTTCGGATTTCTCGAGACTAATCGATATAATAATCCATATTTTTATCGAGTTCGTTATCGATTTGGGTATCGATATTTTAATCTATTTTGTTATCGATAATGTTTTCGACTTTGTTATCATTATTTTTATCAAGTTTGTTATCGATTTGGGTATCGATATTTTAATCTATTTTGTTATCGATAATGTTATCGACTTTGTTATTGTTATTTTTATCAAGTTTGTTATCGATTTGGGTATCGATTTTATTATCGATATTTTAATCGAATTTTGATCGATTTTGTTACTAATTAGGGTATCGATTTTGTTATCGATTGACAAACTTGATATATTTCTACGCAATTCTACGGTACCCTGCGTACACGTTCGTGGGTAACCGCACTCTGACACTTATTTTTGCTCATCCAGCGATAAGTGTCCGTGTCCAACAGCAACGGAAAAAGATATGCAAATAACCCTTTCCCACTGAGAGGAGCATACATCTATAAAAAATAAACTACCTGTTGTGTTTTGTGGGTTATTTTTTCTCTTAAATAGTGACGGTTATTTTGGGACACTTTCTAAGTACAGAGGAATATTTTCGACCTCTGATGTATATTCATTTGCAAGTGCTGTCAATTAAAATTGCTTGAATTATTTATGAAGCAAAACAAATAGAGTTGATCACAAATTGATCCAGATATCTATTAGCATCACATCTATGTTGAATTTGCGTGCCTTTTGTTATCCAAACAATGTAAAATAATAAATGAAATCTCGAGCGGCGATCACTGAAACGCAGCTACCCAGCAAAAAACACGATTATCACAGAAACGAAAGTGGAAACGAACTAGGCGGTGGGAATCACTTACCCTTTCGCTTCAAGAAGGCATTATTTTAACATGGGCAGGTCATTGGTGGTAACATGGGCATGCATTAGCTTCAAACGAAGTGAGAACGCATGGATAAACAGAATCCAGAGAAGCGAACAAAGAATGCCTTACAGAGAAACTAATGTAGAATAAAAGAGAAATATTATAGGACATTCTACTTTGCATTACCGGCAATGCCTAAAAGGAGCAAAAAAATCGAAGGCATTATAACTCTATGCCTTCTAGAACACGTTACCTCTAAGTATGCTCGAAAAAGTAATGTTGACACTTTTTGTAATTAAACCATGTTCGAATCGTGGAATGTTTTGAATTTCACAGGGTTGCTTTTAGCATTGAGATTCTTAATGCAGAAATGGAGTTGCATTTAGGTGACGAATTTTTCATGGATAAATGTGCATTTAGGGTAGCAATTAGAGTTAAATGCGCTAAAAGTGCTTTTACGCATAAGCAAGAACAGCCCATAAGGGAATTATTTATTTGAAAGCTGTATTACAATACAGGTGTGAGACGAAAGAAGTCTAAAAAGGTTGTAGTTTGAAAATATTTATTTATTTTTAAAAGTCAAATTTAATTTGATTGTTCCCAAGTGACGTGAAAAAATCAAAATATATTCATATTTAGTATATTAAATATATCCATATTATCAATATATTCATATTTAGTCATATGAAATATTATTAAGAAACCTTTGGTTTCGAACAGTTCGAGTATTATTATTTGATGTGGGTTTCCACCGGTTTAAAAGAAAAAAAATTCAATTATCATAAATGAATTATTTGAAATGTGGGCATCAATTGAAATGGTTTAAAAAATAATTTTTCCTAACTAAGCGCAGGAGGGTTGCCACTTAATTGAAAATCAAATTTTACTTCAATTAAGGGAATTAGGTAATTTCAATATGTATCACAAAACGTATGTCCGGCGAAACACGTTAATAAGGTTTTAGTTTGAAAAAGATTTGAAGGGGGTTGCCACCTATTTGAAAAGTTGAACTTGAAATTGTAGACAAGTTAAAGTGTCAAACGCATCAGTTAGAAAATTCAAACTCATCTTGAATTATGGAAATTGGTTTATGCAAATACATAAAAAAACAAAAAGACGGAATCCATCTGGGGCTTAATTATCATCACTGGTTGCAATTTTTATTTTGAAACTCAATAGCTAATTCTTCTGGCAAGTGATATACATTGATGCCAGCTAAGCGCGAGGTGGANCTCAATAGCTAATTCTTCTGGCAAGTGATATACATTGATGCCAGCTAAGCCCGAGGTGGCTTTTTATGTAGGAATCCCATTTTTATGAAAACTGCAGATATGTTAGTAGATCGTATTGAATATAGGCCCTCGATATGTACATATGTATGTATCAGGGTTGTTGCGAATATTCGCATTCGCATTCGCAACCGCGAAGCTTCCGCATTAATTGTAACATTCGCATTCGCTTTTGCATTCGCAATAATCAATGCGGAGCTTTTGCGAATGCGAACGTTGTGCAAATCTATACTAATTATATAAAGAGAAGTCCCTTTTTTTTGTAACAGGTAATCTCGCGAACGGCTGGTCCGATTTTCATGAAATTTTGTATACAAATAGCTTTCGGTAACCACCATGTTTTAGGCTAAAAAAATTTTACTTTTTTCGGGTAGGTGGACCAGGGACCGGTCTATTCGAAAAAATCTTATTATAGTCCGATTTGCTTAAAATTTAGTACGTAAGTAGCTTTTTAGCATATATTAGCATATATCCCCCATTTTTTCCGGGAAGTGGTCCAGGGACCGATCTATTCGAAAAAATGGAATTTATGGTCCGATTTGCTTAAAATTCGGTGCGCAGGAAGCTTTTTAGCATGTATTAGCATATGTGATCAATTTTTTCCGAGAAGTGGACCAGGGACCGATCTATTCCAAAAAATCGCATTTACGAAGGTACGTAGGTAGCTTTTTGCCTGGATAAGCTTATAGATTCCCGTTTTCCAATTTTCATGCAATTTCGAATATAAATAGCTTTAAGTAACGACCATATCAAGGGGCGAATTCGTCACTAGGCAATATTTTTTGCGCCAATCAGAAACAACGGATACTGTAATATAAAGAGAAGTCCCTTTTTTGTAACAGGTAATCTCGCGAACGGCTGCTCCGATTTTCATGAAATTTTGTATACAAATATCCTTCGGCAACCACCATGTTTTAGGCAAACAAAATTTTACTTTTTTTTCGGGTAGGTGGACCAGGGACCGGTCTATTCGAAAAAAAATTATTATAGTCCGATTTACTTAAAATTTAGTACGTAAGTAGCTTTTTAACATATATTAGCATATATGACCCATTTTTTCCGGGAAGTGGTCCAGGGACCGATCTATTCGAAAAAATCGAATTTACGGTCCGATTTGCTTAAAATTCGGTGCGCAGGTAGCTTTTTAGCATGTATTAGCATATGTGATCAATTTTTTCCGAGAAGTGGACCAGGGACCGATCTATTCCAAAAAATCGCATTTATGGTCCGATTTGCTTAAAATTCGGTACGTAAGTAGTTTTTTAGCATATATTAGGATATATGGTCCATTTTTTCCGAGAAGTGGACCAGGGACTGATCTATTCGAAAAAATCGTATTTACGGTCCGATTTGCTTAAAATTCGGTACGTAGGTAGCTTTTTAGCATATATTAGCATATATGATCCATTTTGTCCGAGAAGTGGACCAGGGACCGATCTGTTCGAAGAAATCGTATTTATGGTCCGATTTGCTTAAAATTCGGTACGTAGGTAGCTTTTTGCCTGGATAAGCTTATAGATTCCTGTTTTCCAATTTTCATGCAATTTCGAATATAAATAGCTTTAAGTAACGACCATATCAAGGGGCGAATTCGTCACTAGGCAAGATTTTTTTGCGCCAATCAGAAACAACGGATACTGTCAAAATATAATTATAATCTATATCTATCTATACTAATTATATAAAGAGAATTCCTTTTTTTTGTAACAGGTAATCTCGCGAACGGCTGGTTAGATTTTCATGAAATTTTGTAGCTTTCGGTAACCACCATGTTTTAGGCTAAAAAATTTTACTTTTTTTTCGGGTAGGTGGACCAAGAACCGGTCTATTCGAAAAAATCTTATTATAGTCCGATTTGCTTCAAATTTAGTACGTAAGTAGCTTTTTAACATATATTAGCATATATGACCCATTTTTTCCGGGAAGTGGTCCAGGGACCGATCTATTCGAAAAAATCGAATTTACGGTCCGATTTACTTAAAACTCGGTGCGCTGGTAGCTTTTTAGCACATATTA